TAACTTTGTTTAACGCCACAAACATTAAATGATAATGTTTATAGTCGTAAAATTAATATGTATTATATGAGGTAAGTATCTATATCTATATACTATATACACTCAGCAGAGATCAGTGTTTGAATATACGATTTATGACACGATCAACCCGAGACGGCCGCCCGGCACTTTAAACTAATAAATTCACACGCACACAGGTGCGTAACTGTATAATCTGTATATATTAAAATTATAAGTAATAACGATGGTAGGTGTAGTACGTATGTACGTCTCTATAATATAACGTGATTTAGTGATTTTAATAATAATTTAACTCACGAATCTATACGTATTACGTACATGAAATTATAAAAGCTAAATTATAACATTGGTCACTCAACAGTGTAGCTAGGACGTTCAATTTCATAATTGAATACATCGATACTTAAAGATAAATTAAAAAAATATGAATAGTTGCGAAAAGGACATTATTCGATAGTAGCTATCAAATTGTTTGTTTTAAAATAAATAACGCCCATATTTGGATAAATCTCGTTGAGATATCGGAAGCTTTTTTGGTATGCTCCTAGAACATGATTAACAGGTTAAATTTTTTTTTTTGCTTTTTATTAGGATAATTTTTTTCATTTTATACAAATAGGTAGTCAGGTTTATATTCAATAGAAAATACAAATTAGCGTGTTTTGATTACAAGTATTGAAATTAATTTTAAAAAATATCTATTTAGATAATATAATATTATAACAAAGTACCTATATAATATTAGTTTATTCGGTAGTATTTCTCAATCTTTTTATATTAGAGTACCATCTACCCATTTTCCATGCTCCATCCACAAAGTAATTAACATTTAAAATTTGATATTTAGTTTTATTCAAATTTTACAAAAATATATATTCCTATTATAGATGTTTTATTATAAAAGATATAATTAAACGCCCATAGAAAAAATATCGTAGCCCAATTCTGTAGGGAGGGAAGAATCCAACCATTGTTCTCCTCAATTAAAATTTACTTTACTATACATCATAATATCATGAACTGCAGTGTATAATATATTTATATGTATACAAACCGGTGAGTTGTTCATATTAAATGTCACCGCATATACTACACATGAAGTTTATACGTAGATACCGGGAGAGATAATGATATAATATCCATCGTTTAGCGGTATACATTTGTAATACCTATTGCTAGGTATATCGTGGACACGTAGAAAAAATATTAATAAATAAATAAATAAACAATAATAATAAATAAATAAAAGAAAATGCCGAGATCAAAGAATATGCCTAATCTTGCGTGCATGCTGGTACATAACCTGCTGTAGAGACACTATAGGTAGTATAGCTGTATACGGCCGTATTACAGAAATTACGACAGGTGCATTGGATACCAATATATACATGGCTGTTTGTGGTTTAGGTTAGGTACCTATCTAACGTATATAAACAGACTGATGTACCGGACGACGACGAGGCCTACGCAGCGGTGATCGTATCGATTAATCAGTATTCTTGATTTTTTTTTTCTTTATGGATCGTTCTAAAAAAACAAATTGGTCGACCATTAATGTGACCGGTTCGCGCGTCCGTGTGTTTTAAATTTCCAGACGGTAAAAAAAAAATCGTACACACCCAATTAAAATTCGGTTTTTTTTTTTTTGTCCACTATATAGGTATTATAACGCAATTATATGCATGTCTTAAATTATAATGCTGAATGATCTTTTGTTTATAACTATTCACGAAGAGACGAGAGACAGACAAAAAAAAAAAAAATTACAAAAAACAATACTACTAGGTACCTATTATATTATTATACCAACAGTTGCAGCCCGCGGTTATTATATTATTAATTACTTGATCGGATACACAGGTAATACATACACAACTCGTTATGGCTATATACTCATCTAAGTTATGAGCGGAGATCTGTTTCAAAATTCAATAAACATAAAAATTGTTTCTTGTTCATATTTTTAGTTACAATTTATTGCAATAAGGGCCGTATTCAGAGCAAGGCAAGAGGGCATAGACCAGGGGCACAAATTTCAACACTACTTACTTATGTAATATTTTTTAGGTAATATTTGAAAAATATATACTTATTTAAATTTGTTAAATTATTTTGTTAAATATACATACAATTTACCAAACTTAACAACATTTAAAATAACTTAAATTACAAAAACAAAAACGTAATTTTATATGATAACGAGTAACTTTGAAATTCGTTATAATTTATTATTATAATATTATAAACAGAAACTAAAAATTTCAATATTAGGCTTCTTCGTTTTATGAATTTATTAATTCTGTCCAGTTGATTGTCACCTTTTGAGGTTAACTGCCAACCCGATCGTTGTTTCACTCAATTTAAAGTGAAAGTGTGGACAAGTGTCAAATAATCGATTGTCCGACACTTCAGGGACTTACATGAAGAAGAAGACTCCACCGAGATGCGTTACATGGGCATTTTGGTTGTACCATATGTCTGGCCGGGCAACCACAAGTGCTCAGTCGCAGTAGAAGGTACCATTGGAAGTAGTCGACCGGTGATCGGCGCATGGAATCACCCCAGCAAGAAAAGTCTTACCAAATATCTCTATAACCATCCGGGACGGGATACAATCGAAGCCACGGTGGTCCTGTTGACGCATTAGCGTATACGTGCCAGTCTGGACCCACGATCGGTCCGAAGCTATGCTTATGTAATCGAAGATAACGTATCATGGACACCGGCTGGTAACAGACCACAGGACACAGGTAGTCCACCCCTATCGCTTGTTCTTAGGTATGCTGCAGATGTGCGTGACTTGGTTGATATGTCAAACGCTGCGCAATCCCACATCCTGCTCTGGAGGCTGTGAACAACGGGAGCGGCGCAGATGAGGACTTTCTAGCGGTCACATTAGCCATTTCATCAGTAAACGTGGCTATAGCGATAATTGACGATAACCCAGTGAGGTTTGGTATTAAGCAGAGGTACCCGATGAGTGGATAGCTGTTCATCATAGCCATCCATCCGATGGTATTAATATTATAAGGCCCTTCAGTCGACTACCTGATGATCGCATTCGCTTACAGCCTCTACTTGAGAGCTAACAACTCGGACGAGCTACAGCTGTCTATCGCCACAGCTTAGACCCTCGTGTCATCGGAAGTCACCACCATCACAATCGGTTTTCTTTGTGAACTGACCATTTATAAGGGAGACCTGGGCAAAAGCTCTGGAGACGATTAGGGATATTCATGACGCTCAAAAGCAGGTCGTAACACCACTCACCCAAGATATTATATTTACAATACTGTATTTTTATATTTAAGTTAAATTAAATTAAGATTTTCTCTACACTTGATATATCAAGTATTTTATTCTTGCATTGAAGCATAAATCAACGTTGTAAATGAGACACAGCATAGGCATAAGATTAAAATATTGATAAGTAATACAACATCTAAAATTGTGTTTTATTAACTTACGTTGAATCTAAAATTATATTACTGTACTGAAAGAAATGTGATTTATCAAACTCTAACTAATATTATTACCCTCCTTATATTCTACACATTTTAAATAGATAATACATTTGTAATATCAATCATGAAATTACTGTAAGACTCGTAAGTTATATAGACTGCAAAAATTGTACGTAAAAAAAGCTTGAAAATATAAGTAAAAGGTTTCTCATATATTTTACATATTTATCAATTTTAGATAGTAATAAAAAGTTGAAACATTTTATTGTTGGTGTATAATTTTAATACTCAATAATTTTTCAAAATATTTAAACTAATTTTAAACTATTGATAATCATTTGAAAAGTTTCTTTTAAAGTGATCATCGAACAATAAACAAATTTTTGCAAAATGTATTGTTATTTTGTTGTAATTAAAAACTAATAACATATATACCTGAAGTTCTCACTCAAAATTGATGTTAGCATTTTTTAGACAGGGTACAATTTTTTTGAACTCTTTATGAACATTTGAAATTTTAGATATTTTGGGTATTGCTATCAAATACATAAAATACATTTTTATGCATCAAAAAGCTATAAAATTTTATACAAGATCTAAATTTTTATGAAATAATTGTCATAAATAATTTCTTATCAATAGGTCTACTCTTCACTAAAAGATTCTTCCTTCTTCCAAAAAAAAAAAAAAAAAAAAAACAGTAAAAATAAAGAAGGATCTCTGATTAACGCAATTTCAGTGTTTATTTTTCTCTTTTACCAATGTTTTATTTTCCACAGAGTTGAACTTTATATTCTTTAGATCCTATAACAAAAATAATAATTATAAATATACTAACAAAAACATTAGTTATTATAATGAACAAATTTTGAAGTTTTCTAGATAAACATTTTATTATTTGCACTAAAAAAAAAAAAATTAGTCATGTCATAAAAGTTATAATTTTTCAAAAGTATTTTTAATTATTATCAATATATTAATATTTTATATTTAATAGCACACATAACAAAGTATAAGTTACACTATTTTCATTTGATAGTGTTGGATAAATATATAAATATTAATATTAGATTTATCACACCAAGTCATTTATGAGATGCACCTAGATGGTAATAAAAATAATATTGCTGTTAAGCTTCAATGCGAAAAGTTTAATGAAGGTTTTCTTGGACATGTTACAATGTAAGAATATGAGTAATGGTAGTTGTGTGTTATATTTAAACCAAGAGATTTGTGATTTCTTTAAATTTAGTGCTGAAGAATTGTATCAATTACAATACTGAAATATTAAAATTACGCTATTATTTTCCTTTAGTGATTTGTAAAATTCACGAAGTCATGTACTCGGGGAATTTAATTAAATACACCATAAAATAAATTTGTAAGTTTTTATATGCAATATATTTTATAGTTTTAGCTTTACTGTGCATTTACCAAGTTTATTTCATGTTCCAAGGATTACTGTTTAGTTTATTACATGGTGCTAAATTTTGTTCTTTGAAAATACAGTCGTTTTTATGAAAAAAGTTCGGATTTCCGTTTAATTTCGTAAACTATATTATTATCTATTATTTTTGTCATGATTGTCTTTTATTATTCGTTCAATATTATAACACTTCATGACATTTAAATTGCAATTTGTTGTTGATAATTTATTATCATCATTCTCGCATAGACTATCTGATGCAACGACATTCTCGTTTAGTCTTATCCAATTTGGAATTGGCTGAGAGGAAAGAAAATCACAAATATTGCATTCTTCACCAACTGATTCCTTTGTAATCGGTTGATTTGATTTTGTGTCGTCTTCAATACCAATTTTAAAAAAATTATGAATGGATTGTTTATGACACACGGTTAAACGTTTAATATTTTGTTCTTCATCTTTTTTAGTGACACCATTATTTTTTATAAGATTTGATGTTTTTAAACATAATGACAAATGGCTAGTTGTTTGGTCATTGATCTGATTTACATCACAACTATTTGAAAGGCGATTTGATTTTTTTGAACATTCTGATAAATAGCTATTTTTTTTGTCGTCGATTTGATTCGTTAACTGATTTAATTGTAGTATTTTGGATTGAAAATTGTCTTCTTCAATCCTTTCAAAATTTAGCTTTGTTTTTAAAAATTCAGATAAAATAATACCATCGCATTTTATTTGATTTTTATCATCGTGTGAATTTGTTATTTGTGTACTAGCAGCATTAATATTATCTATTAATTGGCAAACACATCGATTCATTTTACATGTGCTATTAATATCTGTGTTCGTGATTGAATTATCAGAAGTAATAATTGATTGCATTTGTTTCAAATTATTAGGATTTGGTTTTATAAAGTTATCAACACAAACTTTGATATCGTCTTTACTTTTTTGCAGTAAATATTTTTTTTCTATTTCTTCGCTACTTGATTGGTTTTTCATAAAGACTTGTTTAATAGGATCGTTTATTTTACTAAAGTTTTCAACATTGGACATTAATTTATCCATTTTCGTATAGTTAATGTTAATTTTATTCTCCAGCCTGGATAGATTATCCATGATTTCCAATTTTTCTTGTATTTGGTCAATTTTGTATTGAGTCAGAGCTGACTGTATATTTTTAAAAAATGATTCTAATTGGCTATCTAAATTGGCCAATTGGTCAACTGACTTAACACTGTACTCAGATACGTTTTCTTTATCCGTTATTTGTTTGTTTTGATCAGTTTCTTTTTCTTTTATTTTAACACTTTGTTTATTTTCAAGCGTTTTTATATTTTCTTTAGAATCTATTCCCAGTAAAGTATCACTAATTGACAGTGTCATTCTATCCTCAATGCTGTTCGACTTGTTTACAGAGTTTGAAACATTATTTATATCAGAATTGTTTGTAATAATATTTTGGTCAGTTTCTATTTTAGAATTGAGCTGTTTTGCATCAATTAAGCCAGATAAACAAGACACCTACAATAATTCAAAAAGAGTTAAAAATATGTTACTTACACACTTATTTATATTTACTTTTTCAGTGAGTGTTTGTAGATTTGTTTCTATAATTGGTATAATACTTAGGACATCCTCTATTTTACAATTATTTATTTCTAAATTGTTTTCATTTTCATTCATAGACGTGTATTGGACGTTTTTTTCTTGCACGGTATTTATACAGTTGTTTAAATTTAAATCTTGTTTATTTTGTAATGTTTGTAATTTTGCGTATATTATTTTTACGCGTTCAACTCTTTTTTTCAAATCATTAATTACTGGTTCCTCTTCATGGTTTGATGGATTATTAATTGATTCCTCGTCAACGATATCTTTGTCAATGCTGTCCTCACATTCATTGCTTTTTGTTTTAGTAAAGAAGTTACTTAACCACATTTAAATTATTTCAATAAAATTTATTAAACTAATTATTACTATTAAATTCTACACATATTGAATATTTAAATGATTTTGTAGTTATAATATATTAAACATAAAACCTAAGTTATATTATAAATATTTATTTTGTTTGTATTAAATTTGAGTGTGACGACCTAACCTACGCGAGTTGCCATAAATTATAAATAGGCCAATCAATATTTTTTTTACTCATTTTTTTTAAAACTTAAAACCAATCAACTTAATTTTTTAAGTAGGAACCTAATAATAAAAAAAAATAAAATTATAATTTGTATAATATACAATTTAATAATGTAAATCAGTATAATATTTAAGACTAGTGGTATTTTACATTTTTGTTCTGGTATCCGGTATTCATTTACTATCGATCTCAATGGTATTATCAGTTATAAAAGGTATTTTTGGTAAACTTAAAAATTACCCAACTTAGGAAAAATATTAATTTAAAAAAATTTGTCTATAATAATCATTTAAAAATGAGATCACATAATATTTTTTAATACAGCGGTAATAGGGCAAGCTTTTAAGAAAATAAATAAATATTGAATAATAATAATAATACAAACTATATTGGTTTCTCATATTTTTTTTAGATGTGATTCATCATATATCTAAATAATATACCTGAGTAAAAAAAAAAAAAAATTGAAAAAAATACAGCAAGAATTTTATACAAAGTACAAACTAAAGTTAGGTTTATAAACATTTTTATACAATGTAAATTTAATTTTAAAATAACAAAACGTTTTTCTTTACATTTTTCGGTATGTATTAAGGACACGATTTAGTGATGACAATATGACACATTGTTTGTAATACAATACTATGTTCATTTAAAATTATTTACATTTTCAAATTTTCAAATTTTATTTTATTATTTTGGTTATAGTGACAATCTATTTTAACGACTAGTTTTGATTAATCCCTTGAATTTCATTACTTATAATAGACGGTTTCTACTTTAAAAGTAAATGTACTGAAAAGAAAATGTAAGCATTATTAAAACACTGTGCTTATAAAATCGTGTACCCAAAATAAAGTTTTATTTATTTGTAATGTCTGCAGTTATACGAGATGCGAGGAATACAAATGTTCAGCAACATGATCAATATCAACAAATATGTATGATAACAAATTTATAAGAAAATAGCATTATTATTCAGCAAAATAGGATGACACTCCTATGAGAGAATTGAAGGACTTATGTGGTGTAGCTCAAAGTTTTACAAAACATATTTAGTAGTGATGAGCGTTATTTAATAACGACCATCAAATTATTCGATAGTTTTGCCAAATTAGTTATCTGAATACTTATTTATTATTTAATTCAGTTTTTTTTTTTTTTTTTTTTTTGTATTTGATTTGAGTACGTTTTCTGCTAGTATGCTGTGATACGGTGCAATATCCATCACAATTACACATAGCTCCTCCAGTAGTTACAACATATTTTGAAACCAGTTATAAAATAATTGACTATTCATCCATGAGTGGGTAGTCACCGTCATTTTTACTACGAAAAGTAATTTAGAACCATTAATAAAAAACCAAATTCAGCTGCTCCAGCATGACATACAATAATACGACTGCCTTTATCAGTTGGCACTTCAAATCCTTCACTTTCCATGTCGTTTTGCCCAGTATGATTTCTTGAACGGTTCTGGTTCACCTAAGTCTTATCCAAATAAGTAACAGATCTAGTGTCACCACTGGAATGAAAACATTTTGTTGGCCATAAGTTTTGACAGCATAGGACTTAAGTGCGATTCACCTCAAGTACACATCTATATAGCCACACACCTATACCTACCTATAGGTGAAAATAAAGGCTCTTTCTTGTCCCAAACAGTTATAAACACTACGGTTTTAAACTATGTCAACAAGGCATGATGCCGAATGGAAACATTTATTTTAACTCCCGGTGATATGATATTTTTTCCAGATACGTATCAGTAATAAGCTAAGATTACCAAAAAAGAGAGACTACCTACTGGACAGCAAACTTTAGCGCGCGCGCGCACAGAATCCCACACCCCGGACGTATTGACATAGAACGCGACGCGCACCTACGTTATTATTTCGAGGGTCATAACATAAATATTGTAACAGCGTTGGGTATTATTCGCACAGAATAACAATGATGATATTACATGCACGACGACGGCGAATCGTCGTTAAAACCGAACGCGCTCCTCGGCGGCGACCGAACGAGTGTATTATTAGCGGCGACGTATTTTGCAATATTCAACGATAACGTTGCGCCGCCGCCGTGCAAATCTCGCCGTCACACACACACACACACACACACACATACAAGTGAGACCACCCAAGTGGCGGCGGACAAAACACAAATTTATGTTGAAAGTGGACCGCGTCGGCAGTGTGTGCGCGCACGCGCGTGTGTGTGTGTGTGTGTGTTTTTGAGTGAGAGAGAATGAAGAGAAGGCGAGCTCACGCGCATGCATACAAGTCGCGCGCAGAGATAAGTATCCGCCGCCGTATATATTAAATTTTACGCGTCCGGTTCGAGTCCTCGACGAGGAGTCTGTGGAACACGCCGGGGCACGGTCGGTTGCGGCGCGGCTAGGCACACGCGCCCGAGCTGCGGTATTGTCTCTTGCCGTATGCCTAACGATGGCATCATTGAGCCCCTGCCCCTGCCCTCTAAACACCGTCTTAGAGTTGTCGTACGCCGATTTTTTAACGAAAAAAAATATTCGTTCCAACTGTTTTCCTGTGCGTTAGTCGCGATTTTAATGGTATTTGGGGGGGGGGGGGAATTTATAAGCGATTTTGTAGAAAATTTGAACACATTTTTTTAATTCGTTCTGCACATTAAACACGGGACTGGACTGAAAATTGCAATACTCAGTGAACAATGAAGTTATATTATTATTTTCAAATGTGTCTTTTACAGATTTGCAAATCGTATTGTATAAGTACAATGATATAGTGTTTATAAGTTAATAAACGGTATAATAGATTGTCCTGGGGTTTTATCAAAAATTGGTTACCAAGTCCTTGCTTTTAATTCCAGAAATACATTAAGTGTTTATGTTCACCGCAGTACTCGTAATTATGTAATTAACAGTCCAATATGTTGCTAGCCTAAGTCGTGCAATGAAGTAGTCAATTTTTACTTTAACTTTAATTATGTATCTAATTAATTGTATTTTAGTATCTGTTTATCTATTGTAAAATAAATTTATTATAAATAAGCATAAATCGCTATAAGTACTGTACCCCTTGTTGATGTTAATTAATATAAATAATTTATTAATATTACTTTAAAAAGAAAGTAACGCCGAAACATAAAATTGAATTCAATAAAATATAAATATATAAATATATATATATATATATATATATATAGGTACATTTACCAATAGGTAACGGTATTAATGTCGATCGTTGTTTGGTTTTGGTAATACCTATAACATAAATTGAGTTACGTTAATTATAATTTACATCGACAGAATTTCGCAAAGTAAAATAAAGATGGTAATAACTTATTATTAATGACTTATTGATAGATAGGTATCTGACTTTAGTATATTTCGTTCTGGTTGGTATCAAGGTGTACTAGAAACTTTACGGGCTTCTTACACTTAAAAATTAAAAATTCTCAGTACTTTTTAAAATATAATCAGGAAAAACAACGTTGTAGCATTTTCTATGCATGGTAAGATTTAAAAATATGTTCACTTCAATTTTTAATTTTATTTCAAACTTCATTTTTATAAATATTGATACAATTTTCGCTCAATCAAAATACTTGTAATTTTAAGTCCTCTGATGCAAGCTAACATATCTTCCATTTCGTATGAAAATAGCGATGATAGTCCGTCTCAGTCCATACACAATGCTCAACAACAAAATAATTCAAGTAACTACCAGAGGGATAAAATAGGTGGTGTACTGACTAAATTGTCTACATTTAAATATAAAGAAAATTCATTTGTGCACAACTTGCGAACAATAGAAAACTCTTTTCAAAGAAATTTACCCACGTACAGGTGTACAATAATCTGCGTAAGTACCTCCAAATTTTCGAATTGGTCATTAGTAAGGCGGTGCATTTAATGTATTAAGAAATGTTAAATGAATTCATGTACTTTTGCAATAAAAACAGGCAAAATATATACTAAGAAATAAAAAAAAACATGCAAATGCATTTAATTCATAGCACTGGTCATTAGTGACGGTGAAAAATTATTTAATTCTACAACATTTTCCTTCACCCTTTATTAAGCTTAAGACCTACTGTGTAATCACTAATCATAGACTGGTGGGTTTAAAAATACTGTTGGAGTTATTTTATTTAGCATAGCTTCCTAATAGTCAATAAGCCATCATTATTTACAATTTTATTGATCAAAAAAATAAATAATTTTAATTATAATTACAATAATTTTTTTACAATTAAATCCTTAAAATAATACATAGGTACTACAAAATAAGTTGAAATAGTATATATTTATTATATATTGGTTGGCATTTGAATTAAATATGTTAAAATGTCAATTTTTTAGATTTATAATCAGAGTATATTTTTTTTGTATAATTTTGTTTTTGCAATATTTCGTTTCTACGGGTATTTTTTTTATTTTTTTTTTTATAAAATTATTTTTTAAATCATTATCGACTTGAATTTCTACTAATATTTGAAGTTTTAGATTATAAATAAAGCTATAAAGATTAAAGCTTGTCCAACACAACTCATGTACTTGAGGAGTACAGTAAACGATGATCATTTTACTTTAAGATACTCTGTGCACCTAAAACTGTGCCTACAAATAAGTTTTCATTGTTCACAATCTTGTGCGCAAACGAGTTTTCACAAATTTATAAAATCTATTGGTATGTGTGCGAACGAGTCTCAACCAAAGAAATATATGGCTCGAATGCAATTGTTGACAATTCAAATATCTTAAAAGTACTTTTTGACAAAATTTGTTAAAATCACGAAAATTATTTTG